CGAACACTGGCAGCGCCGGGGCATCACCGCCACTGCCGGGACGGGGCGAGGGCACCGCGGAGCTCTGCCTTCCTCTTGCCGCCTCTCCGCGCCTTCGCAGAACCCTTTCTCAAGTGCCTTTTTTCCCTCTCTCCTGCCCAGTTTGATAAAAATAGATTTTGAGCAAGCAGCGTTTCCAAGCAAAAAGCAGTTGTATTTGTTTGTTTTATCTGGAAGTTTTTTAAAGGATTGAAAAGTTGAGGGGGGGAAGGAGGGGGGAGACCAACTCTTCCCAGCACAGAGATCCAGCAGCAAAGTTAACGTTTCCACCACGGCTTTATCTTTTCATCCATGTAAATAAACGTCCTACACACGTCATTCATGTGGGGTTTGCAGGGAGAGCCGGAGATGATGGGCCTGTTCCTACTGGTAATATTTACTCAAGCAACAAGAGCAGGAAACAATAGCAAAGCCGAGACTTTTCCTTTAGGTCGGCGGGAGGGAGCAGCTGTCCCCACCCTCGTGGCTGCGGCACGTGCCCTGGTGAGCAGGGACGGGGCCGTCTCAGGGCAGGACGGGGCACCAGGCAGCTCACCTTCGGGATGCCGTGCCCCACAGAGCGTCCCCACCAGCAACAGCCTCCCCGACACGGGAGTCAAAGTCCTTTGGCAGCACCCGCGGTAGGGGACACGAAAGCTGGTGGACAAAAATGTTGGCTAGGCCGTAGCTGGGGTGTCAGCTTCGTGACCTGCAGATGAGCATCAGGCTGCGGCCACGCGGTTGTGTAGCCAGAGGTAGTGCGTGGCAGTGCGCGGGAGGAACACGTCGCACACGTGTAATGGGCGGATGCAGGATCACCGGGCTCTCGCCAGCCCTGCGCTGGTGACTTCTGCGCGCGCGTCCCTTGGCCACACATCCGTGCCGTCCCTCCCTCTGAGACTTGCTGCCGCCTGGGGCTGGCGCTCGGTGTGGAGCCAGGCTGGCCATTGCCTGGTGGTCAAAGTGGTTTGGCCAGGTGAGACCATGCTGCCGGGCTTTCAGCAGGCGAGTCCGGTCCTGAGGACTGGTACTCGGAGGGTTTACCCGGGGGGTAGACCATGGAGGTGTTAGCATCCCTCTTGGCGCTTCAGGCGGGACCAGGGCTCTCTGCTCCCGCACAGCTCCCCATGGGTTTTCCTTCTCACCATCCTCTACCTCTTCCCCAGGAGAAAGAAAGGAACGCCAAGAGGAAGAAGAAAAAAGGCACCACTGTTCAAAACGAAGAAGCCGCCTTTCCTCCCGCAGCCGAGGACGAAGAGATGGAGGTGTCGGGGACGAGCGGCAACGAGGAGGAGATGGCCGAGGAGGCGGAAGGTGAGGCGGGGGCTGCGGCGTGGGGCTGGGCTCAGCTCTCCCGGCTTTGCTGCACAGTTGCAGCAGAGGAACCGTGCGCGGCCCCTCTGGGGCTGCAAACGTCAGCGCTCGCAGGGGGTCACATCTGTCACCCCAAAGCCACACCGAGGTGACGGCATCCCGCAGCACGAGGCGCTCGTGGTGTTTTGGATGCCTCTGGATTTCACACTTGCAAAGAGTGCCCTGGATCACTGCCCTCCTCTATGTCTGTCTGGACAATGTTTATTTTTAGGAGCCCTTTGGGTTTTGATTTCCATCAGCGTGCTCTCTAGGAGCACCCAGCTTACCAGGGCCTGGCACGCTTGTGCGCTCTTGTAAATCAGATTTCATGGTGTTTTCCTCCAAAGCAGGGTCCCTGCACGCTCAGCAGGGTTAGATAGCCACCACCGTGGGCTCTTGAGGAGCTTATCAGGGGGCCAAGGAGGGATAACCCACCAAGGTTTGCGTGCGCCCATCCCCGTCTCATCAGGGCATTGCTGCTGCTGCTGCTCTGTGCAGCGGAGCTCCCGGAGGCCGGCACTGCCAGCAAAGGCAGGGAAAGCCGTGGTCTCCCACCAGCCAGGCTGATGTATCTTGGTGGGTCTTTTCCTCCTCCTTTGCCTTTTAAGGCAGCGTTTTCCTCCTTCCCAGCCATACCAAAGAAAGGAAACAACTTGAAAGTGACAATTTTCAGCTATTTATCGCTTAGAAAGCACGGCAGTTTGGAGTTTGGAGAAAATGGGCATAATTTTCCGACAATAGCCCCATTTGACTTCTGTCAAAGTAATTTAATAACTTAACCAACACTGCTGGTACCACGCTGGTTCCTGGCCTTAGCACCCAGGCTAATGGGACTCAAAATGGGAAATCTTTTCAAATCATCATTGCAAGTGACTCATTACAAGGCAGATTCCAGGTAAATCTTTGTGCGAGGTGATACGTGACTCAGAGGCGCAAAGTAAAAGGTAGTTATTGCTCTTTGTAAGAGTGCCTGAGAGGAAACAATGTATTTTTGAGATTAGAGACGGATCTCTTGACATGCTCCTGAGCCTTACGCTCCAAGCCTCGTCTCTTGTTCTGCAGCTGGGGTGGGCTACGGAGCTGAAGAAGGGCGTAAGCAGGCGGCGATGAAATGTCGTGGGGACAGAAGTGCCAGCATGGTGTTATTTTACGGTTGGATGTGATGATCTTTGAGGTCTCTTCCAACCATAATGATTCTATGATTCTATGCATGAGGCCGTCGGCTCTGGGGTGACATTTGGGGATGCTCAGGCAATAGGTTGAAGTCAGGGGTCCATGTGGCCAGCCAGGGATGGAGGGAAGGACTTGGCATGGGTGTCACGGTGTAGACTGTAGATTCAGCATCTGGAGGGAGTGTGCTGGAGCCTAGAGCTTGGTTGAGCCTGGGACGAGCCACCGCTGGATGTCTCAACGTGGTATTCAGAGTAGCATTGAGTGGCAGTTCAGGAGAGTTTGGCCAAAGGCACTATAAACCTTGTCGTCCCTGGGTGGGTGACACGACACCTCATTACTTGATTGCAAGTGAGTAAAGGTTGGAGAAGGCTGAGATTCCTGATGAGTGTGGTGTGCTTTCACGCCAAGGAAGGATGGATGTGCTGTGATGTACAGCTCTTGGGACAGAGTCCCTCTGTGCCACTCATCTCACCGGCGTTTGAAAGCTGTCTGTGCTGCTATGGACAGAGACGAGAAGATCAGGAAGCCTTTGGGCACAAGCGCGAGAGCCCTGCCCAGCGGGGAGGTGCTGAGGTGGGACCATGGAAGGCTGCTGGTGCTCCTGGTGCTGGCCCTGTTTGTCCGGCGAAGGCTTGGAGGGAACGATCCTCTCCCCAGCTGTAGAAACGATCTCTCAGCAGCATCTTCATCTGCAGCAGTGCACGGACGCTTGTGCTTCCAGCTCACTTCAAGCCATTGGTGGCAGATTTGAGAGTGATCCTTTCCATGTAATAATTAACCTGTCCCGCAGCACTGCCAGAGCTTTGCTTTTGCTGACCCTGACCTCCTTTCTTCTGCCACTGACGGCTTAAATAACAACAAACACACACGGTGTTTTGGGATGGTCCCCAGCTGCCCTGGGGCTGGCAGAGCCAGGGACACGGGCGACATAAGTCAGCGAGCAGGGTGCCAGGGAGGTGCCCGGTCCCGGGGGAGCAGAGCTGATCCAGAGCCACGAGTGAGAGGGTGAGGTCCTGTCCTGAAAATCCAGCCAGCAGCCAGGGTTTTCCCTTAAACATCCAGCTTCCCAGTCGCTCGGTCTCCAGGCTTTTGGGTGTGTGGTTTTGTGTTTGGGTGGGGGTTAACAACAGTCATCGTGCTGGGCAAGCAAAGAGGCCCCCCAGAACATCCCTTTGCTTAGTAGGCTCTGGATCCGGGGATCCCGGCACAGCTCTCCCAGCCCTGGGATCATCTTCCCCTCAGAGGAAAGAGGGCGTTCTCCTCCCAAGGGAGGGGGTGGAGGCAGCGATATGGGAAGCGAGAATCTCGGGCTGATCCTTATTTTTATTTCTTCCCTTTTCTCAGCTGCAGTAAATAACAGCTCCGACACTGAGAGCATTCCCTCGCCGAGGCCCGAAGCCAAAGAAGGAGGCGAAAACGGTGCCAAGGCACCACCCGGGCCAGGAGGTGACTCCAGCACAGAACCGGCAGTCAAGTTGGAAGAGGCTCCGACACCCCCCGACGCTCCCCCCACCAACCCCGCTCCTGCCGCCAGCCCTTTGCCAGAGGCAGATCCCGAGCCGCCCAGCAGCGAGGAGAAGGTGCAGGAGGTTCTGGTGGTGGACGTGGTGAAAACGGAGGAACCAGAGGAGAAGGTGAGCGAAGAGCCCTGCAAGAGCGAGGTGAAGAAGGAGGAGAGCGAAGACAGCCAGGAGAAGGACAAGGGGAATGACAAGAAGGTGGAAAGCGGCGTCAGCAGTGGAGGGACAGCGGGGACAGAGGGGACGCCGAAGGCTGAGAAGAAGGAGAGCCATAAAGGCAGTAAAGGCTCCGGGGTGAACCCCGACAGCGACTCCAGCGCGACCTGCAGCGCAGACGAGATGGACGAGCAGGATGCTGTGGACAAGAGCAGGTAGGAGCGGGGAGAGAGGTGGGCAAGTGCATGGCTCAAGGGCCAGATGAGCATCTCTGTTGCGTGTCATACTGCCCACGTGTACTTTTGTGAGCTCCTCCTTGGGAATGTCACGGCTCAGGTGCTCCCACAGGCAAAGGGATGTGCCCAGCTGTGTCTCTACGTGGCTGTGACCCTTTGGCCATCGTTTGCAAAGGGGCCATGATACAACAGGCAGTGCGATGCCCCAGCGTACAGGTCCTGCTGGGCAGTGACCGCGGGCAGGCGTTGGGTGCAGAGCCACTTCGTCTGCTGGTGGCAGCCCATCTGGGTGATGCAATGGAGCAGGACGAGCCCTCAGGGACAGCGGAGTCATGCAGAGGCACAGGCTGGTTTGCCAGCATCCCGGCTTGGGAAGGGTTTCTGTCTGAGTCGGTGCTGGTGGGAGAGAAGTCATGTCAGGGACGTGTTCCCAGTGCAGAGAGGGGGGCAAGTTGCTCCCTTGGCGGAGATGCCGCTTAGATCTGTCGGGGTGAATTATCCATCCTGGCTGTAAAGGGAGGAGATTGGTGGGGGCTGTGCAAGCTTTCCTGTGGCCATGCCACCAGGTCTTCACCTGAGCTGCTGCGGTCCCAAGCCCTCCACCCAGCCCTGAGGCTGGCAGCTGAGGGCACCTCTGACCCTTCGTGGATGGTTCTTGGGACAGGGAGGGGAAACAATGGCCTCTTCGTTGGAGAAACATCCTGCTTCCCTCCCGACTTTTCACAGAGCCCTCTCCACCCAAGAGCCTCACAAACGGGGAGAGGGTTTCCTTCATTTTTAAAGAACATGTATGAATCCATGCGTCTTTGCAGTGCTGATTTCTCTAATGGCTCTCCTGCCCCCATCCACACTGGCCCCTAGACCAGTTGGGACTCCTGAGTCCACCCTGCCGTTGCCCATAGGGACAGCAGGCCCTCCCCACCTCGGAGCTAGACTGGGACTGGAGGCTGGCATCCCCCATCCCACATCTCCCATCCCTCCTGTGGGCTTGCAGGGGGCAGTTTGGCAGGGAGACGGGTGCTGCCAGGCTGGGGGGGCTGTTTAAAAAAGCAACCAAGCAAAGCAGTGGGATGAGGCGATGGGGAGCCGTTGTGCATCTCCACCGCTCCTAACGGCCTCCGCGCTTTCGCTGTGATTGATGCAGGAGCCAGTGGGTGAGTGCTGCGCATACAGGCGCATCCTCCGCGCTGCCTGGCTGCCCCGGGGGAG